AAGCCCCCTCTGCCCTCTCTCGCCCGCCCGCCCACAAAAGCAAGCCCGCCAACCACGGCCCACCCTCCTCACGCCATGATCCTGGCTCACACAGGCACATCCCGTCCCTGCTCCACCTCGGTCATGGTGATTTCACTCCCACTGTCACCCCCTAACACGCCTGGCACACGCGGACAATGCCCGGGTGCCTTAGGGAGGAACAGGAGACACCCGCCCGGGATGGAGCGCGGAGGTGTGGGCTCCGGGGAGCACCTGCCAGCACCAGCCTGTGCCCCACCGACCCGCATCTGCCTGAAGGCCGCCAGGTCCGCGCGGAGGTGAGACGGGTGACGCCCTCGGGAGCCCTGGGCTGGCCTGTGTACGGCTGAGCAGCACAGACAGGGTTAAAAACACACCCCGGGGACCACTTTATTGTGAGGTCAGGAGGGAGACGCCACCACAGCCCTCGCTCGGGTGCAGACTTCCCGCATTAGGGCCGCAGGCAGCCCAGGTGGCCCCGGGTGCAGGTGCCCGCAGGTGAGACTCCGGCTCTGGCACGGAGAACACTCCTCTACTGAGATCCTTCCCCCCTCGGGCTCTCTTCCAGGTGGGTCCCTGGATTGGAAACTGGCAGAGAGGAGGACCGTGAGGGGCCTGGGCACCCCCAAGGAGGCGGGGGCGCAGGCAGGTGCAGGAGCGCAGGCCCCGCCCGAGCCCACACCCCCTCCTGGCCTCGCCACCTGGAACGGCGCTTCAGCTCTGGGTGCCGGCTCCCCCACAGCAGCCCTGGGCTGAGCGCCTTGGGGTGCGGACCCAGGCACCGCTGTGCTCTGTGCTCACACGTGACATACACGGCTGATTGCTCTTCAAAGCGGGAGCCTCGCAGCCCTGGGCACACGGGCATGGATGGCATCCGCCGTGAGCGGGGAAAGGCCAGGCTGGCTCAGAGCCTCCCTGTCTGCGCACAGGCCCGTCTGGGGACTCTGGAGAGTAGCTTTGCCTGCAGAGATCTCAGGGATGCTGGGGACCCTCACCGGCCACCCCGCGGGCCAGGGCCTGTGCTCTGGAAGCAGCCGGCGGCACTGGGACTCACCGAGGGCCATCAGGGTGCTGCAGTCCCTGCCGTGGAAGTCCATCCAGGCTCTGGTCTTGCAGCTCTTGCTGCAGGTCAGGATCCCGTAGCAGCGGCTGCAGGGCAGCAGGCGCACCCCGACCGAGCGGCCACACTGGGAGCAGAACTTGAAGAAGGGAATCCTGCCAGGGGCCACGTGGCCATCAGGCAGTGCCTGCTCCCCCCCCCCACCCGGTGCCGCCGACCCGGGCTCCTCGACCTTCCCTGTGTCTTCTGCGTGTGGATGGAGACCTGAAGTCCCATCCAGGGATGTCCAGCCCAGGCCGGTCAGAACAGAAAATAAACACCGTGTCCAGGGCGCCCCCCGGGGGCTCTAACAAGGCTGGGCAGTAGGACCAGTGGGACCCTCATGTGCCACCCACCTCACGGGCGCGGAGGGTTTCTGTGTCTTGTGGGAAGAGCAGCTCCCGGCGGGCACACACCTTCCCCCTCTGCCTCAACAGGAAAGTGAACCCAGGTGGGCAGCCCCGCCTGCCCCTCATCAACCCGACTGTCCACCAGGTGGGCAGCCACGCCGACCTACCTGCCACATGCCTACCACCCAGCTGCCCTCCAGACACAGAGCACCCGGCTCCTCGAATGTGCCCCAAAGCCCCCACTGCCACTCCCATCCTGGCCTGTGCCCACGGCAAGTGGGGCCCTGCCAGCTACTTACTGCTCCAGCTCCTCCAAGTGCTGCACCCGGAATGGGCTGGGGCCCTTCTGCTTCAGCCTGTGGCAGGGCATCAGCTGTGCTGTTCCCAGAGACCCGCGTCAGACTCCGTGCGCCCTCCTGGTGGCGCTGGGGTGTCCACGGGCGGAGGGCGCACCGGGCTGCCTGCAGGGAGCCCACCCTGGAACTCCAGGGAGGCAGGTGGGGACCCCAGGCCCTTGACATCCCGCGATGGGTCCCAGGAGGCAGAGTGGGGCTTGGCCTGGAGGGGTCAGGCCGCCCATGGCCCCCGGGGGGCTTCCCTCTGCTCCTGCATCCTGCCCAGCCTTCTGCAGCCCCCAGGGCACCGTTCCCCTACACCGTCCACCAGCGCAGTGGCCCCCTCGTCACGCCAATCAAAGGCTCTGGGGCAGCACCAGGTTTCTCTGGCCTCACCCAGCGCTAAGCCCCCTCTGGAAGGGGGACCCCAGCTCTGCTCTCCAGCCACTGTGGGAGGGTGCAACGTGGGCTGGGTGACCAGAGGGCAGTGAGTCCCCCACAGTACCCACAGTGTCCACCGTGTCCCTTCACTGTCCTCGCCTTAGACACACCTTATCCCCCCAGAAAGGCCACCTAACCCCTGCTTCCCCGCCACCCCTTCAGACACAGGAACCCCACAAGGAAACACCTGCTGGCCAGGAGAGCAGGAA